TCTCTCCCTCTCTTTGCTCTTTATCCTCTCTCCCTCTCTTTGCTCTTTATCCTCTCTCCCTCTCTTTGCTCTTTATCCTCTCTCCCCACTCTTTGCTCTTTATCCTCTCTCCCCACTCTTTGCTCTTTATCCCCCTCTCTTTGCTCTTTATCCCCCTCTCTTTGCTCTTTATCCCCCCTCTCTTTGCTCTTTTCCCCCCCTTTGCTCTTTTATCCCCCTCTTTGCTCTTTATCCCCCCTCTTTGCTCTTTATCCCCCTCTCTTTGCTCTTTATCCCCTCTCTTTGCTCTTTATCCCCCCTCTTTCTCTTTTCCCCCCTCTCTCTCTTTATCCCCCCTCTCTCTTTTATCCCCCTTTCGCTTTGCTTTTATCCCCATCTTTCTATTTATCTCTCTCTCTCTTTCTCACCGCTATTTATCTCTCTCTTTCTCACCGCTATTTATCTCTCTCTTTCTCACCGCTATTTATCTCTCTCTTTCTCACCGCTATTTATCTCTCTCTTTCTCACCGCTATTTATCTCTCTCTTTCTCACCGCTATTTATCTCTCTCTCTCTTCACACCTTTTTTATTTTTTTTTAACATTAACAATGAAAAAACGGTACATTTTCATTGTCTGTTAGTTTCTCTTTCCTATTCAATTTTCCTTTATTTATTTTAATCTTTCCTAAGCATAAAAATGTGTTTGTTTTTCATACTTTTTTTCTTAGGCAAACTTTTTTCCATGATCTTTTCCCCCTTTAACTCACTCCCAGTTATCCTCTTGTCTTTTATCGCGTCCATTATTAGGGCCTATCAAGGTGCTTTCAACTGGAGACTGTTTCAACAAGTTTTATGACTTTCATCTGTGTGAACAAGTATCAAATAAATATTCCTTTTTCGGATTTGTTTTCTTTTTTCCTTGCTACTTGAAATCCCATACGAATGCAGTATTTCTTTCATGACAGTGTTTTATGTGGTGACATAGCTATTCACCTTTTTGTTTTGTTCTCCTTTGCCATCATTGTGACATTGTTCCCATTACACAACAAGTACCTCACATCCCAATTTAGAAAGATACATGTTAAATCAACTGACATGAACGATTATATTGAATCAATTGCTAGGTCCGTTGCTATTAAGCTTGATTCGCTGTGTTGTGCTAGACATTTTTTCTCAACAGAATCTGTCTTACATCTTTATAAGTCTACCATTCATCCATGAATCAAATATGTCACATCTGGTCTGATGCTTCTGCTATGTATCTAGAGATTCTTGACAAAATCTAAAGAATTTGCAATATCATCAGTCCTAAATTAACAGCTCTGTCACTTTCCCACTGCCATAACTAGCTTCCCTGTGCCTTTTCTATAAATATTTCCATTGTAATTATTTTAACGTGCTTTCTTCTTTGGTACCATAAATTCATGAATTTAAGTGCAGTACTAGGTTGGCAGCTAGGTCTCAACATTTTACTGTTGAAATTAGTTGATGTAACTAAATGCAGTGTCAGTTGTCATCTTCTGTCTTCTTGAATCTTGGTCTTTTATTGTCCTCTCTCTCTTCAATAAAGTTATTTTTACTCTTTGTGACTCCTTGCGTCTTAGTAGTTTTATCACCTTGCTTAGGGCAAAATGATTAAAACAAATAAGACGTACACTATAAAATATACTTTTTATTATTCCCATTTTCTTTTTGATTACATTTACCTACTTCAATACGGTGATCTGAGGGAGGCAGTCTTAGTTTTTAATGTTGCCTACCTAGTATGCAAACCAAAATGGATTGTCTCCCTTCGTTTTGTTGCTGGTCTTGTAAATTTTGATGACCAATATGCACCTGCAGGCTCCATGTTGGATTAGTCTTTCAATTGGATGATAATTTTGCTATGATGCCTTGTAAAAAAAAAAAAAAAAAAAAAAAGTCATTGTTAATGGGACTTGTTATCATTTCCGCTGTTACTGTTTTATCCAAGAGACCATTTAAAGAAGAGATGTTTGTGAAATGTTCTTATAATTATTTTTGTTCATTTTATTTTATTTTTTCTAAGACATGAAAAAAATGAAGTCCCCTTTTTTATGGAAATTATTGTTTGCACTGAAATATTGTTTGCTATTTATAAAGCTAACTATTGTTAATACAAAAAGAAAATCATGCTAACATAAAAAGAACTGATATTTGATTTTATATGACTCATGTAGATGTCTAATTTAGAAAAAAAAATCATAGTTTTTTCTTTTTTCTTTTTCTTTCAGACTTATCAGAGAATCAAATGCAACAGACAGGGAAGATTAAGCTGTGAGTTTCACTTGGTTTCTCTTTCTAAATGATTTTCATCAAAAGTCTTAATGCCTTATCAAGTCTTTTTATATGTATACACACACACACACACACTAATAATAATATGTATAAATATATAAATATTTGATACTTTTTTCCTGGTGTGATCTAGTTGTCTGTGTAACTGTTTTTGTATATGATATTACTTTCAATTAATTTGAATCCAGCTGTTCCCTTCTAATAAAATACCAATATGTAACCTGCAAAACTGACAACACCCTGTTCCTGATTATAACTGAGATAGTTGAAAATACTTGAACTAAAACAAAGCCTGAATTCTGTACAGTTTATCACACACTTTTGATCTTGATGTACATCTCATTTGAAAATTGGAAAAATACAAATAAAAGGAAATATCAGATTTTATCATTTGAATTTAACAAAACTTCTTCATTCATATTGTCAAAAAATAAAAGCAAAATTTACATAATTTTTCAATTGTATTGATTATCTTTTTAGACTCATTAATCTCAGTTGTTTTGTTTATTATTTTTGCAGATTAAAAAATTCTGATTTTTAAATCATTAAATAAAAATATCTAAAGCTAACACAAAAAGCAATATTGTGGGACTGATAAATATATAGTCATATTTAGTTTTATATTTTAAAATGTAGAACACACATACATTTTTTTACACTAGTTCAGCTCTTTACAACTAGGACTTGCCGTATTATGTTCATGGTGATGAACCACTTACATTTCTTCCCTATTCTATTTGTGAAGAGGAAGTTCCACTTGGGCAGGCTTTTCCAAAGAGCTACCAATCCATAGAACAAATTCCTGTATGGGTGCTTCCTAGAATATTTTAATCATAATCAAGCCAAAATTCATTCTAATCTCCTTAGCCTCAGTCTTCACTTCCTAACATCTTTTCTTACATTCATATCACTCACTTCAGTCAGTAACCCTCTTCCATGAAGTTGTAGTTGAATAAAGAATACCATGATTATTAAAAGTTAAAATACACAAATCCCTCGATTAGTGCAGATAAATGTGTACATCGGTAACTATAAAAAAAATCAATTTTCAATTACTATTGTTAAACTGAAGAATGTTATCACACTAATTGAGTATTATGTATGCACTAATTGAATTTTGGTATATAAAAATTTTAGCAAACTTATCAAAAATTTATTAATCAAGGGATGCCGGTAACTTACTTAGAAAGTTATTGAGAATGCAGCTATTGAATTTTACGAAGATATTAACCTGCACCCCAGATTTTTTCAAATATTTCCTTTCCTAAAAGAAATACTTTGTTGTGAAGCCAACACACATGGCCATAAAAATGTTAAAAAGATTAAAAGAAAATGATTCAATCAAAACCATCTATTATTTAAGATAAATACATAAATAATTTATTAAATTAAAATAATAATTACATTAATGACTAAAAAAATAATAAAATATATATAAACAAATAAGAAAATAAAAAATTCAGCAACACCAATAACAATTAGTCACTTTTGTTTATTAAGCATTAAATTACTTAGCATCCTCCATAGTTTACCTTGATTTTTGCTGTTAGCCTTAAGAATATTTTTGAGTGTTTTTAAATTTTGAAAACCTAAGGATATTTTTACTTCTGTTTATAAATACATGTTGCAAAATAAAATCTTTACATTTGCCTTGATAAAGTCTGTCAGAGGACAAAATGAAATGGTAAAAAAGTGTTCTTTTGTCTTTTATTCATATTGTTTTTTTTACAGATATATTAGTCTGGGACAGGGAACTCCCCCCTTAAAATCTGACTGAATGCCTGAATTTCACTTGGAATCACTTTTTGGTCATGCCAAGAACTTTTCAGCACCCCCTCTTCATGTCTGCCTGTCTCTGGCTGTGTGTGTCAATCATTATCTACTTTCCTTCTGATAATTCTTTTGGTCTCACCTTCAGTAATGTCTCTGTTCCTAATTCTTTCATCCCCAGTAGCTCCTTGTGTCTTAGTGACTTTACTGCCTTGCTTGGGATTTAAAAAAAAGAAAAAAAGTAAAATTTAAATGCAATGTCAATCACTATCTTCTGTCATCCTGATTACTCTTTTTGTCCTCACTCATTAGTAATGTTTCTGTTTCAAACTTTTGCACACCCAGTAAACCCTTGTGGCTTTGGGGTGAACTCAATTAATAAATAAATATATATATAAACAACTGAATGACACTTATCAAAATACATTAAAATTATTAGAATTTAATATTTTTATGACCAGAATAGTTGTTAAGAATGAGCTCAATAGATAATTAGTGACTAAAACTCTGGAGTTGATCAATGAGATAAGTCCTTTGAACATTTACTAATTAATTATATATATATATATATGTGTGTGTGTGTGTGTGTGTGTGTCAGGTATGTAGAAAAATAGGAAAGAACACGGTAGGTAAATAATCCAGGGTTCTTTAGTATTTTTGTTTTTATTTTCAAAAAACAGTGCTCCATGCAGAAGTAGAGCTTAGATTATAATTATTTTTTTAAAAATATGATTCATATGAATCATATTTTTTTAAAAATAATTATACACACACACACACACACAGGTACATCATTAAGTCTATAGCCTTATGATAAAAAAATGCATTTTATAAAACAAATCTTATTTTTCAGTATATTCACCTTAGTTGAATTTAGAAGTGCTGGTTTGACAACAGACATCTGTGTCTGGTTGTGGATTTATCGATTCTCTTTTGTCTATAAAATCCTTATCAGATGATAGTACAATAGACTATTGGTTGTAAGATCTAATTAATTTATTTCTGATGCCAGTTTGGTATTAACTTTAATTCTTCAAGCAGAAAGACTTTAAAACCCAACTAAAAGAAGTCTGTTAAATTGAGCACAGCTGAAAATAATGGAGTCAGATTACAAGAGCTGTTGCACACCTAATGATAAAACCCCCGATACTTATGTTTGATTGGTCTTCACCAAAATCTTCACTAGAATGTTGTATTTTTTTCATAAATATTTAAACAATTAAATTTTAAATCTTTTCCTCTCTTATAGCTATAACTTAAATTTTATTTTTGTGCATTTGATAATGCTGGTGTAGGTTTAATATATTGTTTCTACGTGACATTTTGATGATATTTCGAATATTGATATTTATTTGTCTTCTTACTCTCCCCACTACAAAAGACAAATGTGATGTGGAACCTGACATGTGTACTTCCAGGAAGAGGTGAAAATTATTCAGTCTCTGTGTTCATTGTCACAAAGACATCAGTGTTACTCATCTTTTAGTGCAATAGGGAGGTGCTATCCAAAATTTGGAATTTCCAAGGACCAGGCACCACATCTTTATCAATTTTGTGCCCTGTCTCATCTGATGACATGACTGATTGCAGACCTGAAGGGCCGGAGGACAGTTCTGCTAGTGTTGGATAGACTTAAATCTTGTTCAAAGCTCCAAGAAAAACAGCAACAGTTTGTTTTTTGCCTTTTAGGTATTTTTTTTCTCTTTTCTTGAATCTTTAAGTTTCTATTGGATAATTTGTTTCACACTACTTTTATGCAAACATGACTGTTTAAGAATTTTTTTTTCTCAAAGAGCAGATTGAATTAAACTAAGTTTTTACATGAGCCCATGAAGAAATTCCTTCAAGCAATTAAACAGAAATAGAGGAAAATAAACAGTAACACCTTAACTATTTTATTTGAAGAGCAGAAAAAAAAAAACTTTTATGAGTTTATCCTGTACCTCTCTTCATTAGCCCTTACTTAGTCTTCACTCAGCAATAAAATATTCTTCTTGTTCTTGTTTTTCTTTTGGGTCACCTTATACCATGCAATACCTTTCTGTAAACATAGCACACAGGGACTCCTACACACACACACATACATGCATGCACATACATAAAGCATGTGTGTGGGTATAGATATTTGTGTGCCTAATGGGTGGCATGTGTGCATATATAAATTGCTGAATTTATTTTATGTATATATTCACATACACAGATATATGTATACATTCATAGGTGGGTATCTTTACCAGAGAAACATGTGTTCTATGATAGCTTACATAACTCAGCCTTGCTTTGGTCTTATTTCTTTCATTTTTATCTCCTCTGTTTTACCTTCTTTTTTTTTCTTTTTTTTTGGCTTCTGTTTGTATGACACTTTTTATTGTCATAAACAAACCAATTTGGTTGATGGTCTAACACATGTACCAACAACATCAAATCAATCTACAGGCTCACACCCCTACTTGTAGCCACCAGGCATAGAAAAAACATCACCCTATATATATATATATTCATGATTTTGCCTCTCACCTGAATAAACCAAATTATTTTTTATACAGCTTTTCCAGGTCTGATGCTATAGATTAAAAAAGAAAGAATCATTGAGATTGTTTTTGCTTTGTTTTTTAAATTGGGTCTTAACACCTTTGTTTTCATTTCTTTAATTTTTTATTAATGCTGTTACAGAGTTCTTAAGTTGAGATGTGCTTCAATTTTCACCAGGGAATTTCCACCATAATCAGCAGGTCATTTATATTAAGTCTAAGCAGCCTTCTCTTTGTAAGCAGTAGGAATTGTTGCTGTATCTAAATTTAATCTGTCTTTACTTTCTACTGTTGATTCCCTGGCAGTAACTGTTTTCTTCTCACTTTTTGTAGTTGTGCATAGATTTTTGTCCTAGAATAGCAAGGAATGATAACTGGTTAGCCCCTTACTTGTTTTTTTAGTTATTGGATTCTTATCTGAGTAATTTTTTTCTTATCCTTTCTCTTTTGTCCCTTGTTTTATATTTTGTATATATTTATATATACTTTTAAAATGTCTGTTTTTAAAGAATTAATAAATCAATTTTTTTAACTTGGCTTTTCATAAAGCGTCTACTGAAAGCATTTTTTTGTTTTACAAATAGAGATTAGTAATAAAAATGTTCACCTAAGGCATTTTATTCTCACCTTATATCCATTGCTGTACACTTATATATTTATGCAAAAAAAAAAAAAAAACTTAATGAGAATGACTAGGTTACCCATCTAGACACATTGGACACCAAAAAGTTAAATCTAAAGTTAAGTGTCCTGGTATCTTCAAATGTTTTCTCAATGTAGAATTGTAACCAATATTTATTGTATTTTATTCCTTTCTTTTTGATATATGATTCCATCAAGCAAAACATTATTTACTCTGAAGAAGTCCTTTCAAGAGACAATGCATAACATGGTATTCTTTTCTATTTCATTGTTCAATTACCCAAATATATAAGCATACAGTATAAGTATATATCCTTTTATAGATCTAAAAATAAACAAATGGCAAGGAGAATCCTTTTAATATCTGCTTTTTCTTGATAGGGAAAATTTCTGGTGTTCACCTCTGCTAGTACCTGAATTATGTAAAACAAAAAACAAACCTTTCTTTGTAGCATCATTCACCTGTTCAGTTCAGCCAGCTCCATCAAGCATCCAAATGAAAACTGACCAAGCGTAGCAGAGGTGGTATTTAAATTCATAGTAGGAGTTTCGGTTGGAATTTGTATTCACAAGCAGTCCCCACACACTTTCAGCATAGTGTGATTTGGTTTGAATTTAGAGTTCCTTTTTCCTAGACTGGTTGACACCCAAAGCTATAGGGACCCAGTCTATCCTGCTATTTTAACTGTAGCTGGGGGGGGGGGAGAAGAGATGGATTTCTACCTTTCTCAAGTGAAATGTAAGTGTAATAAACTTGGCTCTCTGATTCCTCAGTCTTAGTCACTAACCATTACTCCACCATATCTATATAGAGACTCAATATTTAAAGAAAACTGTATATGATTTTAAGTGTGTATTTCTGTATATTGATAAGTAATTTTTTTTTTAAAGACTTTTGTAATGACAAATGTACTTTCTTTTTTTTTCAATCTTGACCCAGTTAACATATGTGCTCAACTCTGGAAAACTAAATAGTAAAAAAATATATGCCACTTTCTTGGCACCAACTGTTCTAAATCCCTTCCAAATGACTGTTCACCGGTCAATCAAGTAAATTCTTTGATCCAGCATCCCCATTTTATAAGCTTTATAATTTTTCTGTTGCTTACTTGTTTCTTCAAATTCTTACCTATACAGAATTCTAATATTTTTGTTTCTTTGTCTTATTACTATCAGATGGACTAATGCTATTATATAGTCTTATTACTATCAGATGGACTAATGCTATTATATAGTCTTATTACTATCAGATGGACTAATGCTATTATATAGTCTTATTACTATCAGATGGACTAATGCTATTATATAGTCTTATTACTATCAGATGGACTAATGCTATTATATAGTCTTATTACTATCAGATGGACTAATGCTATTATATAGTCTTATTACTATCAGATGGACTAATGCTATTATATAGTCTTATTACTATCAGATGGACTAATGCTATTATATAGTCTTATTACTATCAGATGGACTAATGCTATTATATAGTCTTATTACTATCAGATGGACTAATGCTATTATATAGTCTTATTACTATCAGATGGACTAATGCTATTATATAGTCTTATTACTATCAGATGGACTAATGCTATTATATAGTCTTATTACTATCAGATGGACTAATGCTATTATATAGTCTTATTATATCAGATGGACTAATGCTATTATATAGTCTTATTACTATCAGATGGACTAATGCTATTATATAGTCTTATTACTATCAGATGGACTAATGCTATTATATAGTCTTATTACTATCAGATGGACTAATGCTATTATATAGTCTTATTACTATCAGATGGACTAATGCTATTATATAGTCTTATTACTATCAGATGGACTAATGCTATTATATAGTCTTATTACTATCAGATGGACTAATGCTATTATATAGTCTTATTACTATCAGATGGACTAATGCTATTATATAGTCTTATTACTATCAGATGGACTAATGCTATTATATAGTCTTATTACTATCAGATGGACTAATGCTATTATATAGTCTTATTACTATCAGATGGACTAATGCTATTATATAGTCTTATTACTATCAGATGGACTAATGCTATTATATAGTCTTATTACTATCAGATGGACTAATGCTATTATATAGTCTTATTACTATCAGATGGACTAATGCTATTATATAGTCTTATTACTATCAGATAGATTATGCTATTATATAGTATACTCTGTTAACTGAGATGTCAATCATTATTATGTTATTTTCAACATTTCCATATTCTCTTTCATTCATATAGACTTTTTTTAAACATTTCACCCCATGTAAGGCAATAAAACCAATAAGAGGCAAGGGGTTACTGAGTGTGAAAGAATATGAAAAAAAGAACTGGAGTTAAGACAGAAGATAATGATTGACATTGCATTTAAATTTTTAAAGATCAAAGATCAAGAAGCTGGAAAGCAAAAAGCTGGAAGAGAGTTCCATAAAGGAGATGTGCAAGAGAAGCTAGTAGCATAGGACTTACGGTTACATCTAGCCATTTCAACTCTAAAATAAAGAGTCCTAGCTGCCAATCTAGTACTGTACTTAAATTCATAAAGTTTATGTGCCAAAAAGGAAAGCTCTTCACCATCATCAGAATAACTATGGCAGTCTTTATAGAATAGGCATGAGGAAGCTATGCTACATTGGTGGGAAAGTGACTGAATCTGAGATTTTGTTCAGAACCAATGCAAAAGTTACCTGTAAGCAAATTAAGTTAAAAATCTAATTTAAAAAAAAAGGAGAGCTCACTAATGGCACCAGTGCCTGCTATGTAAGTGCCATCTTGTCATTTTATTCAAAGATACATTGACATTGACTGCTACAATATTTATGATATATTGTACAGTATATAAAGTGAACAAGGAAAAAACTGAACAGTAGATTGTTATTTCTTTTTTCTTTTCTCTCTCTCTCTCTCTCTCTCTTTCTTTTTTTTTTTTTTTTTTTTGATTTAGAAAAAAATCTTTTTTAAGGAACTGGGATCTATTCTTCACAAGTATCTTAAATATGTACAAGTGGCTTTACAACCTTGTATACATCCATTTCTTCTGTTAAAAGATGCACTGACTGTTGGTGATCCAACTTTATAATGATTTTGACCATCTCTTTGATCACCAATGTTACTTAAATTTAATTTTTACATTCTTGATTTGAATAAAAGCAATTACATGTTCCAAAGTTTATCTTGTACTTTTCGGGGCTAAAATGATGGTTGTACTTGATGTAATCTGTCTTGTCTTGATTTCATGTTGAAAATAGTTAAAATATTAAGCATGATTTATATAACTGACTTTAGATGCTATTTTCAGCACTTGTATTTCATTGGATCAATTAGGAGATAAAATCTGCCATTGACACTGTCTGGTTTATCAGTCAGTTCTGCTGGTCATTGTTATGTTTCGATTCTCTTTGTCTGATGTTATCTCTGGTCAGTTGTCATAGATATATTCAAATTGTTAACTTATATTTACTTTGAAAGCAAAAAAAAAATGTCAGTATGTCAGTCATTGATCCATACTTTTGTGATGATGACCAATAAAAACTTTTAACTTATTCAGTCAAGTTTACATTAATGCTCAAGTACTTATTCAAGTTAGAATTAGATTTACTTGTATTAAAGTATATAAAATTTTAAGTCCAGATTTTCTTGGAATAGGGTTTAAAATTTTGTGGATTTGGGGAAAATAACACTGACTTAAGAAACACTTTTGAATTTACATTGAAAAATTTTTAGGTGTCAATTTTGCAAAAAAAAAAAAAAAAAATTGATGAAATTGAGCAGTTAAAAAAAATAATAACTGAACCATAACTTTTGCTTTATTTTTAATCCTAATCTTGGATGATTTTTAAAATTTTTCTTTTTAAATCAAAAAATCCTCCCATTTATGAGTAAAATAGCATACAAGACCCTGCACTCTATTCTTGGGTGGAAACCAGTCAAAGAAGGCCAAATCAGAACTGGGAGCGGAACCCACTCCTCCTGCAACTGTAAGTAAAAATAGCAAAAAGCAAAGCCACCCTACCCCATAGAAATCTACTTGCAAAAATTTGATCAGTATGCCAAACTGAATAAATTCAAGATCAAAAAGCTTAATGTCATCTTCTATGTGCCATGTCTTTTTACAGTATGAGCAATCATGGCTCTCCACAACTTCCTAACTTTTGTAGCACTTAGTAAAGTTTGTCATTTCACTATCCCTCCAGCTCTCTGTTCTGCTATCCACTTGCTTGTTAAGTAGGTTACTCACTGTTCTCTCTGTCCCTCTTGCCTTCAATATGTCCTGTGAGTTTCAAATTTTTCAAGCCCTCTTTCCTCATTAAGTATCCTAAAAATTTCAACTGTTTCTTTCTGATTCTAAGTATAAGTGTCTTTTTTATTTCCATTTATCTTAAAATTTCCTTGCTGCTCTCATGTTTTGTCCATGGCATTCTCAGCATCCTTCTGTAGAACCACATTTATGTTGCTGGATGTGCAGGTGATATAATGGATAATGGTTTGAAATGAGATACTGGAGAGTTAAGTTTGAATTCCAGTTGGGTTCGTTACATTCACTTATTCACAAATACCCATGGAGAAAGGTTGGAATCCATCTCCTTCCTCCAGATATGGGTTAAACAGTAGGACTTCTTTATGGAAAAATTATTACAATATTCACTCACAAAAGAAAATTATTCTTACACTCTAAAATAAGTTTTGACTTTAAATAGACAACAAAGAGTTGATGAGCCTCAAGTCACAAAAGACTTTTTTTTTTTTTTGGTATTAAGTGTTTTGTTTCTTTGCAGTAAGAAGAACTTTTTTGGTAGTAGTGTGCACATCTCTTAAGCCATTGAGAGTGCTCTAAAACTATAGTTCTGTGCCCCCCAAAAATAACCTTTTTAGATTTTTTATTTCTATTTAAAGAAAAAAAATGATTGAATTATTTTTTTTCTATTTTGTAGCACGGAGCAGAAACAAGAAAAAAAAACCTGAGGAGGCAATCTGCCCAATTTGTAATGAAAAGCTCACTGGAACAGTACAAGAATTGAATGAACATGCTGACCTTTGCTTGAAAAGGGTAAGTTATTATTTGATGGTTTGATGAGTAGGACTTGATAAAAGAAAATTTTTACCATTTGATGAAAGCTTTTCTATTGGGTTCAGCAAAATGTTTGTTCAGTATATTAATTAAAAATCAAGTTTCTAACATTAACTTTAATGAACAATATATTGACTGCTCTGTTTCACACTCTTCTCTTATTTTTCTGGTAATTTCATAATTCTGTCCTGCTTGAGATTCTTATCTGTCTTAGCAAAAAACAAAAAAAAAAAACTGCTCTGTGTACCTTTTTGCAATCTTTCAGGGAATTGAAGTATTTTTCATCAAGATATTTTTGTAAAGACCAGAATAAATGGTAATCTGAAGATGCCATGTCTGTTGAATTGCCTGGTCACCAAAGAAATAGGTGATTTTGTATTATCCCAATGGAATTTTATCCAAGAGGAAATGCTCAGGATAATATTAACTGTTTCCTTATAAGGAAACATTTGGTATTCATTGATCGAGCAGCTTGTACTGCTTTTGAATTAGATTTATAAAATCTTTCTCTTAAAAACAATTTTTCAGGAAAATAGGTTTCTTTAGTCCAGTAGTTATTATCAGTCTTTCTAGTATTGATTGATGTTCTGTTGTAGAGTAGCTAGCACCCCTTCAGCACTCTACCAGATGGCCTGGCTTATAGCCTTAAATAGCCTATGATTAAGGACTTCAACAGTTGATTAATGAGTTGATACTAAGCTGATTAATATTCAGACTGATCTTAAAGCATTTGACCCTCCTCTATTCCCTGTAAGTTGTCTTGTTAATTGTTTTATAACTTATTGTTCTGTGTTTTTTGTATGTATCTGTTAGCACTGAATACTGGTGCTGAATAAATATATTAAGCACTCATTCTTCTCTGTGTATCATTCACCTCAACGATACAACAGTTTCCTACCTAACCTTTTTATTGAAGTAGTTTGGAATGTCAACATGGATTGAAGTAATGGCAATACATCAGAGTATTTGGACCGAAGCACTAAATAAAGGGCTGGGAATAGGAAGAAAAGTGTTTTGCTGAAATGGAAACAGAAATGAAGGTGTAAAATATTGTGTGAAAGATAAACTTCTTATTTCAAAATAGAAACAAGAAATCAAGTTGGGAACAAAGAAAATAGTTGATGAGGGAATTAACAAATTCTTTTCTTTTTTACTAATATTTTTTCTTTATCTCTGTAAGTGTTTTTATATGTTAGCATTGTATTTGCTTTGTGGCACAAGGGTATGTTTGTGAAGTTCTGTTTTATAGAAATTAATTTTCCTTAGGAAAAAAAAATTATGTAATATAAGTGCTGTAACCTACGGAAGGTTACTGAATAGAATAATCAAATGAAGGTTGGTAATGAATGATAATACTTAGGACAAGAACAACCCATATAAGATTCTCAATTGTCAGTTAGTAGTCAACTGCTAGAAGTGAGTCAAATTAATTCCACAATGAATCTCCAACTGAAGACAGATATACAGTATTTACAGTATTTGTGTGAATGGGAACATACCCATTATTGTCCGTAGGTATGCTACAATAATAAGGGAACAAAAATAAACATGCATTATGAGATGATTGTATATTACAGTGTGTTATAGGCCTGGGCAGGTGATCTGGAGATCTTGGGCTGCCTATACGTTAAGATTTCCTTCTCAACATTGCCAGAGAATTGCAAAGGAAAAATAATAAACCTATACAGTTTGGTAGTGATGCATTCTCTTTTCCTGAATATATAGACAAGACTGTAGGGTTTTCCCGTCTCCTAGACTGGCTGCCACCAAAGGCAAAACGAGCCTGGTCTGCTCTGTTATTTAACCCATAGTTGGAGGAAGATGGAGTCATTCTTTTTCCAAGAACAGTAGTGAGGATATGGATAAATAAACAAATGATCCAAAAATGTTATTTTTAAAAAATTTCTTTTATACGTAAATCATTTGTTTTGCTCACATGATAAACTTCTCATTAACTTTGTGCCTATTAAGATGATCTTTCCCTGATGTAAATTTTAATTTTCAAGAAAATAAAAATGAATATTCTTTCTCCTCTGAACACAGGAAAAATCGGTTCAAGTCCAGCTGAAGCCAGAACCAAAATATTTTTGTCTGGATATTTGTCTGCTAATTAGTTTGAACTAATTAAAAAAAGAAATGAACACTTTTAATTAATTTTGCTTTTTATTGTTCTGTCTCTAATAATGTTTTCTTTTTCTCATATTCTCTCGCACTCAGTAACCCACCTTTGTGACTTAGTGGCTTTATTGCCTTGCTTGGGATAAAATCATTAGAAAAAAACAGCAAAGAAACATTAGATTTAAGGCTCAAAACTTGCTCACTAAGTTTAGTTGAAGAAGCAGACAAACATTAGATTTATGACCCCACATTTCTGCCACTAGGGCACATGTCCTGGGGGATGAAAGAATTTCTTGATGGTTGTGAGTTCAATTACTAGGTTGGTTTATCAGAAGAAATAAGCAATATCTCAAGGAAGAATTAAATGATATGGATAGAAGACTTAGGACAATCTGTCTGTCATAATTGATAACTGCATCAATTATCACAGACTAGAGGGAACAGTGGTCAAAACATTGTGACAATAACAGCCAAGAATCTTTCTAAGTAAAAAAACAGCAAAAGACTTAGTGCTAAGCAGAGAACAGTTTAAAGTTTACTGAACATAATAGCAAACATTTTATTTATTTATCTGTCTTTAAAGAATAAATCAATAAATAGCAGATTTTCTTTTCCATATTTGTAAAGTTCTTTTAGTTAAAAATTGATTAAATTAAAACACAAGAAAATACATAATCCACACATATTTAATGAAAGAAGGATTTCCCAAGATTATTGCATATACCTGAAGAAAGTGTTATTTTAAACTGGTTTCGTATATTAATCAAGATGTGTACAAAGTTATTGGTGCAGAAAATTTGATTGGCATGTCAAATTCAGATTGCAGCTAAAGCTTCATTTTCACACACAAAATATGAATCCATCTCTTCTTCCATCCAGATTTATCTATCCCTCTCGCTCCCTTTCTCTCTCTCCTGTCTCGAACCCTTTCTCTTCCCCTTCATCTCATTCCCTCTTTCTCTTCCACCCTGTACCTCACTCTTTCTCTTCACTCTTTCTCTTCACTCTTTCTCTTCACTCTTTCTCTTCACTCTTTCTCTTCACTCTTTCTCTTCACTCTTTCTCTTCACTCTTTCTCTTCACTCTTTCTCTTCACTCTTTCTTTTATTTCCTTTTTCTATCTCTCACTCTTGGCATCATTCACTTTTTCTATCTCTCTTCCCTTCTCACTCTTTCTGTTATTTTCTTTATCACAAAAACCCAAGATAGTAACCAGTGCAATGCATTTTTAGAGTTTAATTTTTGAAATTTCCTATAGACCAAGCATTTAAAAATCTCTAATTTTGTCTTTAGTTAATTTCTGCCATATTGGATTCTTATTTTTGTCTGTAAATATGCAAACTATTCTTTGACATGCATATATGATAGATTGATAAAATCTCCTAAAATAACCTGTCATATAACTTAGATATCTATCTCCAAGTATCTATTTTTATATTAAAATTTTGAAAATTTTTATCTTATTTCCTTTTTTTTTGTCTCTCTTTCTAAACATAGTTTCTCTTTTTATATCTCAATAACCACGTCAAACTCATATTAAAAACAATAAAATAAATATGAATTGAATATTTTATTTTTTATTAGCAGAAAATAAGACTCCACATTTTTCTTTCACAGATTATATTAGTTTGTCTTATTTTCTCAAGAATATCTTCCATTCTTTTTACAACTGCCCTCTTCTTGCTCCCCTCCTCAACTCTTTCCGGCTTCAAAATAAAGCTCTGTTATAAGGGAGATAACTGCTAATCTTTTATCAGAAACTTAAAAAAGAAAGTTTCTATATACTATCGAAATTACATTTATAACATTTCCTTTGAATTGTTTTTAATCTTGTTATCTTGAAACACTTTTGTTCCTCACCCATTTTTTATCATACTTTCTCCCTCACCCATTTTTTATCATATCATTTTTTTCTTCATCTGTATAAGAAATATTTGACAATTATTATTTTTTGTTTTGTTTGTCTGTGTGATAGTATTGGAATAGGTTGGTATTTGCAAATATTCGAATATTTATCATAAAAACAAATTGAAAAGCATCAATAATTATTGATCATATTTATTGTTTTTTTGCTTATTCATTTTGTATACAAAATTTTTATTAGCCACGTCTGTAATAAACTGAGGAATAAGTTGTTGACATATGTGCATAATTTTTCATATTTACTGCTTGCCTATAGTTTCAAAATATTCACACATCTCATGCCTCATTTACTTTAAACATTTTTAGATATGAGAAAAATCTAACAAAGGACTTGAATTTCATCTTGTACTTCCTTCATTCAGCGACATCAGCTGAAAATGACAATTTTTTTTTTTCTTTATTATGATAGTATTGGAATAAGTTGCCATGTTCTTTTTAATGTTATTGATTATCCAGAAAGTGATTTTAGGTCTACATACTTGCACATTCATGGGCACATAGAAGCTGGTAAATCTTAAAACCTGAACTTCTGGAAATGTATATATATTTTTTGTTTCTGTGTGTTTGATTGTGTGAGAGAGATTATAAAACTATATTTGTAAAAGGACAATATGAATGAAGACAAAAAAAAAATAAAATAAAGTACATTAGAAGACGAAATGCATCACCTAAGTTTTCCTTTTGTCCTTATATATATATATATATATATATATATATATATATATATATATATATATATATATATATATGATTAAATAAGGAATGAGTAAGAGAGTTTTAATAAAGTTAATCTTCTGCTATTTATTTAGCTTCATTATAAATTTTAGAAGTAGAATGACGCAGAATTATGTTTCAATTTTTAAATACAAAACAATACATAAAATTTTAAAATTGAAGCTTAACTTTGCATTATCCCATTCTTAAAAATTTCTAATGAAGTTAAATAAATGGCAAAATGTTTCTCTTCTATTTATTTATAGTTATTTCTAATATAAAGTGTATTTATGTTTTTCATTGTTTAACATTAATATCAGTGTGGTTTAAAATCATTTGAGTTCTTTTTTTTTTTTTTTTTTTTTTAATTCACTGCAGATCTGCAAGATTTCCTGCTGTGTGTTAGGATCAGATGTTAAAAAAGAGAATAAGATAATACTGAAATAGGTTGCCTGTTCATTTTCATATTAATTATATTATTTAAAAACTTATGAATTTATAGGCAAAAAAATACTGCTTAATCATTGTTGACTAGAGCATGAAAAGACCACATAATTCTAGTATTTTATGTAATTCTTTTCTGTTTTGGAGTTTTTAGTTAATATTGAAATACAAGTGATCAAACCAAACTTGTTCATTATATAAGTTTATTAGTCACAGCAAAAGCACAATCTTATTTGCAATAAAATTGTTAGTTGCTAATTAATTACTGAAGAAAAATACAAACTTCTAACTGTACAAGAAGCAATGTAGTTATACAATGATGCATGTTGATGTCAATATGCCACAAAATTATATTCACTTTGTTTGGCTTTGATACACAATTGTAAGGAAAAGAAGGGGTAGCATTAACTGAGAGAAAAATAATAAAACAAAACTTATCTTTTCTGTTTGTTAATTAAATGTTTTTCACACTTTAACGACATAACTTTCTGTGCTGTTGGCACTTATGATGTAATTGTTTAGTTGAGTGTCTTTTTTTTTTTTTTTTAAATACTTTTTCTGCTCATTGAACACCAAAATGGAATGAGGATTCATTTCATCTGCCAATATTGATTGTTTTCTAGGGTTTTTTTTTCCTATACTATTTTTTTTCAAAACTTGTATTGTTCTGTAATTTCAATTCTTCCATTGAGTTGATTTGTCGTGCGGCCCAATCAAATCAAAATCCTATAAAGATCTGAACATTCCCACTTGATCTATAGTTGCTTGTACACTGATTAAATTTGCCTCTTTTCCATTCTTATTGTTGCTCTCCCTTCACAAGAAAAACCTTCAAAATTTGCCTCCTGCTCTGCCATCAAAGCATTGAAATTACAGCGTCTCAAAACAAAGGAAAATGCATCTAATTGGAACTTGGGCATATTCAACAATAACTATGCCTTCATTATTCATTTATTTGTTTTGTTTCTTTTTTTTTTTTTTTATAAATACAAAATCAATATCAGTAATGAATTTGAATTAGTGCTTGTTAGCATTCTTGAAGCATTTCCAATTTAGAAATGAAATTAAGCTTTAGAAAGCTTTGAACAAAATTACTTTTGTTTTGCTTGCTTTCTTCTAATTACAGTCTGATTTTAAACTTCTCTAGATATTGGCAATGCTGACCAATATTGTTGCATACTGATAAAAATACTTTTGTAATAATGATGAATTATTTTCATCATTGTTAATCTGAAAATAGAAAAGAAAATGTCTTAAGGGTCTAACATCCCTAACTATGAACTCGACATAGTATAATGGTTAGCAAGCCTGTCTCACTAGAACAATTATGACTGAGTAGCAAGTTTGATCCTCACTGGGTGCCCATTTCTTTCAACTTTGTTGCACATCTAAGCTACACTTAGAAAATCACCATAACTATGAACTTATTTTGACAGTTACCATCCACTAAAGATGTAAATATCTACTTTATGCATTCTTTTTTATGATGTATTATTCCATCCCTTTTCCTCATGCATTTGTCTTTTGAAACCTCTGTGGTTGCTAGCATATTACCCATCAAAGCATAATGGAATTACTTAAGTATCAATTGGCTTGGGATCATATTATCTGTGTGCTCTGCCGACGATCAAAGTGCAATGTGTGCACTTTAAATACTATTAAACACACACATGCACACTCGCATTTGTCTAGTCTGTGATTAAGTTGCAGTACTTGCCATAGCTGTACAGCCTGATCTTGGAACCACAAGCTCTGTTTCAAATGCTGCATGTAAAAGCTGCTGCTGGCCTTGTGGGTGCTGTTACCTCCTCCCCTGCTATCTGCATTCTCTTCCATCAGACTACACCAAAATCTGGTGTATGCTTCATTGTTTTACCTGACTAAAAGATGCCTGCAATATATATTGGATAGTTGTATAATTTGCTGGTCTTGTAAATAAATATCTGACCAATCAAAAAAAGTTAGCAAGATTTGGGTAATTTTGCAATTATATTAGTAAAATGCCAAAAATGTTGCTCCGTATTTTCTTTATGTTCACTATTTCATAAACATTAAATGAAACAAACAACAATATATTGGAAAGCAAGTAAGTTTTGAAAGTAGTGTTTGTGTTACTGCAATGGAATATCTCATTACTAACCAGGGGAGATCAGGCTGTATGACTAATCAAGACAAATTATGTTGTATATCTTCAAATAGATCTTTGTATTCTTGTTAACCATAGGAAACAATTTTTGGTATTTTTTTCCCTCCCTTGTGAAATTTGTATCTGAATTATAAAATGAAATGATTTTGTTCTAAATTAAATTTGGTGTTCTCTCATACTTTTTTCTTTATCACTTTATTCTGTGTAGAGAACAAAAAGAAAAAAAATCCCATCTTAGATGAAGTAATAATCACATATTTTCTTATATAACTAAAAATATATCTTTAAAGAGACAAAATATGAATAAGGACAAAAGGTAAACTTATCTTAGTTTATGTGTTTCATCCTCTGAACTGTATCAAGACAACTTCAAGGATTTTATTGTGCAACAAGTATTTATAAACAAAAGTAAAAATGAATGTTGTTAGTTTTCAATATTTTTAAATGTAAGAAATTCTCACAAATATTCATCAGGTTAACTGAAAAGTTTTGGTAAAATATGGAGGATGCTAAGTTATGTAATTTAATGTCTAATAAACAGAAGTGAGTAAATAATGTTGAATTAAAAAAAAATTATAATGTAATTAATATTTAAATTATTTTATGCATTATATATTTTAAATAAAAGGAGAATATGAATTTAACTGTTCTCTTTTATTTTTTATTTAACATTTTTATAGTCTTGTATGTTGGCCTGGGGGAAAAAGTGATTCTTTCAGGAAGGGAGATATTTGAAAATATCTAGGGAGCAGATTTATATTTTGTTGAGATTTGATAGTGGCACTCTTGAGAATTTGCCATTTTAGTGAGTGAGTAAAATCCTTACAATTGACAAAGTCCATCAGAAGACCAAACATGTTGACTAAGATAAGTTTTCTTTTTGTCTTACATATATATATATATATATATATATATATATAGAATTATGTATAGAATTTAAAAAGAGATGGAATTTCAGATTTCTTTTTTTTTCTCTTTTAATTCTTAGTGGAAGCAGGATTTCCAAGAATATACTTATAATAAAAGTGTTACAATTTTAATGTCTTTTGACATGCTTTCTCTCTTGTTCTCTCTTTTTTGCCAGAAAGAGCAGATAACTGAAGATGATCATGTTGATGTTGAAGGAGACGACAGTGGAGAACAGTATGAGGAGTATACTTGGATGGGTGAGACGAGAATACGTGCCACCACCATGTTGGAAGGAGGATTTGCAGGTGAGAAATCATTTCTTATCAAAACCTATTTCAAAGGAAATTTTACATTTTCTATTCTTTTTTTTTTTTTTTTGTTGGATGTGCGTGTGGTGTAATGAATAGTGGCTTAGAATGAGAAATTGAAGAGGCAAGTTTCAATTCCAATCAGGTTTGTTACATTTACTTATGCGCAAATACCCTTGAGAAAGGGTATGGAAATTTAAAAACTTGTTATTTTTATAAAAACAAATATTGTACATATGGGGACTAGTAAGGACTTCAGAGAGAAATTGTGATATTTTGGTGACTAGTAAGAATGGTAAGCAAGAATGTGTTGTTCTAGTGAAAGGAACATCAATGGATGATTGGATTTGTGATTGCGTTTAGCTAAGTTGAATATACGACAGATGAAAATCTTCTCCAATTTAAAGCCTTGTAGACATTTGGTGCATTACATCATTAATAATTCTAAGCTGAATAATTCTTTCTAAGATACACCGCTCTTGTGTATCTTCTTCCGCTAAAAGCAAATAGTCTTTGAAAGAATTAGAAAGTAATTGACTTGTCTTCCTCAGTCCAAACCACGATCTATTACTCTCCTGTGCCTGCAATTCCAGGTGAATTCATTACATTTACTTACATGCTAAAAATTCATCTCTCCTCTCCCCAACTATGTGTAAGTAGCAGGACAGACTAGGTTCTGTAGCCATGGTTGGCAATCAGACTAGGAGAAGAACAACTCTGAATTCAAATCTGAAGTTGGATTTCTTACGACTGTCATATTTTCATTCTGGCAGCTCCTGCAATGATGCTAGTACCAAGCTGTATTCATCTCTTCTATTCCATTTCTTCTGTGGAGAGGGGATACGTGTTGCACAGGGAACTGCCAATCTCTTATAAAAAAAAAAAAAAAACCAGGCCAGGCCTAAACTCTTCAGGTGCAGATCAATGGTCTCTCAAGACTGACAGATGCCAATAATAACTTGACCTCATTGACTTAATTAAATAATTTTTCTGTAAACAATATTTTGAGATAAGATTCTGTTTTCATCATTATGATGTGTCCATACATAATACTTTCTTTTCCTTTTTTTTTTTTTTTTTTTTTTTTTTTTTTTAAAACTAAATTCTGTTCATTTGTTATTAATAAAAACTGGCATCTAATTTATATTTTATTCAAATGTTACTTAAGAATGAAATTTAGCAACTGCTTATTAATGCTTGAATGTAATAAAATTTTACAATTGATTCCAGTTCAGTTGGTACATTTCTTTTGTGATGTAATGGTGTGCAAGATGGATGCACAAATAGGTTTAAGTTTACTAGGTTAATGTATGTTTTAGTCTTCTCACTCTGACAGTAAATTGGGTTTGGATTCAAAACCATTTGTAGATGGTGATGAAAGTAAAGATTATTTTGTTGTAGTTTTGTTTGATTGTTTTGTTTTTTACGGCTTATCAACCTTTTGCAGTTTATTTAAAGCTAGTAAATATTTTTACATTGTAAGAATTTTTTGGAGATGATAATGATTTACTGATACAATTCCTACTAATTAGCTCATAGCTGAAAGTGGAGAAGATGTGGAATCATACCTTTCTTAAGAGTATTTGTACATAAGTGAAAATAATGAAGTTAATTGGAACTCGACTCTCTGATTTCCAATTCTGAGCTGTTATCCATTTCACTACCTCCACATGAAAGTGTGGTGGCACGGAGCAAGCGAAGGACCGGATGTTAACCCTCAGAGATCTAAATAGCAAATGACCAATACTGGTCTTTGCGCACCCGGCTCCACGCAGAATTTCCGGTGGAAAATAAAAAGAAATAAAAAGAATAATAAGCAATTTCCACCAATAAAACGGCTCGCGCCATACCCAACAGTTTGCTTCAGCAGACTGACTCTGAGCCGATGGGCACAAATAAATAGAGCGATAAATTCACTTCTGTAGAGAAAGCTTTGAAGTACCGTCAGAGAATGTCGCTACGCTTTCCTCACCCATCACCAGACGCCTCCAGCCTTCCTTCACCACCGGAGATACCGAATGACTCCTACCAACCCATTGACCTCACCTTTCATCTCCTGTGACCAGCACGCCTTAAACTTAAGTATTAACAAAGTGACTCTTATATTCCTTTAATAATCCAATTTCTCTTATACGAATGAACATTTTTATAACGGACTTTTGTGTGTGTGAATCAAGAAAAATTGTACTATTCATTGATGTTGTATTTTAATACAAATTGTTCTGATATACCCTTCTCTTTCGTATGTTATTTTGTTTATGTATGGTGACCTCAAATTGATTGCTTGTTGAACCTTTAGGCCAAACTAGCGGCTGTCCCGAAGGACTGCTACTACTACCTACCTTCTGATAAAGCAACAAGTAACAACGAATCCACTCCCCTCCAACACCATAAAAGCTTACAGTATATTGTATTCCAATACAGTCACCCATCCAGCTATTGACCAGGCTTGACATAGCTGAACTTTGCTGATGATACAAGAACTTTTGTTGCAATGTGAAATGAGCAGTAGATGGATTCTTCTGGAATGACTGATGAAATATTTTGGCAATATGATGTTGAACAAAAACGTCTTCATTCCAAATACTTTATATCTTAAAAAAAAAAATATAAATAACAATAAAACCGTCCATAATAATTTGTGCTGATATTGCAGGCTTTTGAGGATGAGTTGATTGCATCTTCAATGCTTCATAAGGGTTACCTTTTCAGTAGATACTCTAAAGTAATTTTTAAACAATTAATGGATTTTTTTTCTTTCATTTGACATTATTTCTTATTAGAAGAAAAATTCCTGCCAGGAGGCACATTTTCTTTACTAAAACTTACCATCTCTTGGCTGGTAGACATTCCTTTCACAGTTTCAAAAAAAAAAAAAAAAATCTACAAAAGAAGTAAAAACAGGGATGCTATGTGATCTGATTTAATTTGTTTGTTTTATCTAGCTTCTGGATTCCAGTTATCAAGCAGAAGATTATCAGTTGATGAAGATTTGGATTTGAATGTGGACGGAGATGACACTGAACTCTATGGTCGACCACAGTATCCTTTATTATGATCAACATTTAATCAGAGTAAACATTTACCTAAACCATTCCAAATTCTTTTAGACCTTAAAAGCACTGTGTGTTTGAGAGAGAGAGAGAGAACTGAAACTTTATGCAATGGTGAAACTGATCTAATAAAAATAATTCTTTATTTTGATGATAACAATGTAACAGTCTTATGAAAAAGTAAATGAGCACCTGTAATTTGAAATAAGTCTCTTTCCTGCTCTGGTTGATGAAATAAAAAAATTAGTATTTTTAGCTGATTTAAAGGATTTTTCTTGAAAATAATTTTATCTGAAATACAAATAGAAATTGTGATGCACCCAATAATTGAAGTGTTTAAGATCAGTGAAAATTCTATGAATGTGAAATTGATCAAACTCTTGTCTGCATCATGGAAAAACTGACCAATTCCATTGTCTTTATGCTTGTAAAGGTAAGAAAAAATTATTTTTAGCATTAAATATTATTTCTTCAAGAAATGATTTATCACAGATTTTGTCTTATGAAAAAGCTTTTTATCCTATTGGCAGCAAGGTCTCATCATTTTATAGCTGAATGGCTAGATTTAACTATAACTTCTTTTCTAACAGTTTCTTTTCTCACACTTCTTGCTTGTAGAACTCTCTTCCAGCTTCTTGCTTTTGAACTTGATCTTCAAAAATTGAAATGCAATGTCAATTGTTATCTATTATCATTTTGATTCCTCTTTTATTGTTTTCACTCAATGTTTTTCTTTTTCTTATTCTTTCAGATTCAGTAACCCAATGTGTCTTAGCAGCTTTATTACCTTGGTTGGGGTGAAATATTTAAAAAAAAAAAATTGTAATCAAGTTGTTTTGTTTTTTGGGGGTTTTTTTTGTAATTTTTAAATTTATTTAATTTACTTATTTTAAATTTCTCGTGACGTGCTGACAAGACATAAATCTCAAACTTTTGAACCTTCAGTCTTTGGTTCTAACTACTAGGCTGCATTTATAACCAAGTGTACATACTTTTTATACACCTGCACCTACATGTGTATGTGTGCACCTGTTACAATTTTTAATTTAATTCTTTTATTGGAAAGTTTGAAAAGCTGTGACAATAGTTATTTTCCACTTGCAATACATTCAACCTCCAGAGTAAATTCATTAACTTAAATAATCTCTCTCTCTCTCTCTCTCTCTCTCACCCTGACCAACCTCTTTTTCTCTTCTTCACTCTTCATGTCTCCACCTCCCTCATTACTCTTATTCTTTCTTATTGCTTTTTCTTCTTGGGTAGAAATAAATTTTATTTTTCTTGTTGGTAACTTTATAGGGGAAAGATATTTGTATGAATTCCATTGGCAACTCGGTCAGTAGAACAAACATTACTTTTCGTATTTTTTTGTGCAACCTCCTCAGTCACATTTCACATAATTTATCTTTCTTTCACTTTTTCTCTCTGTCTCTTTCCATCTTCTCTTTACCCATCCCCACAAAAGATCTTTTCAATTTTGTTTTGTCCATATTCATTTTATTGCTTATTTAATACTTGAAAAAAGAAAAAAAGAAAATTTCTAAAAATGCCCAGACATATTTCATTTCTTTTCTCATTTCTTTCTCTTTCCCTCTCTACCGTCTTAATTTGTTTTCTTATTTTTTTGTCTTTCTCCCTCTACTTTTATATCTATCTTTTTTTCACTTTCCACTTTCTTTTCTTATCCTCTTTCCACCTTTGTCTTACCTTAGACCCTGTTTTTTTATTTTCATTACTTCTCCTTTCCATTACTTACAAAATCTTTTACTAGCATACCTTGGAGGTATTGCAGTTTGGTTGGTTCTAGATCAGTGCAAATATTAAAAAATAAAATAAAATGCAAATATTAAAATAGTTTTTTTTTTTTTTTTTTTTTTTTTTATGTTGGAGAGTTCACTGAATCTACATTGTAGTCTAATTAGTATGCGACAATATTAGGTCTAAAAAAAAAATAAACATATATGCATAGATATGGATTTTATTTTCAATCCAACATTACTTATTATTCTAAACATTATTTTTTAGAGCATACACCTGTATGAGTAGATGGCCTATTTTTTTTTAAACTGTTTGAATTATGTCTATCTCTTTATTAAGCCTCTCAAATGTGCAGTTCGGTAGATGTAATTCATGCTGTTTATAATAAACAAACATGAATATCCACTAGAAATAATATTTAGATATATGTATATGTATGTATGTAAAAATTCAGATATAAATAAACTATCTGTGAAAAGACAATATGAATAAAGAGAAAAGGAAACATTTTGTTTACTAACATGTTTCATCATCTGAAAAACTTTATCTATGGTAAATGGTATGGTAAAAAACTTTATCATGGTAAATGTAATATTTTACCTTGACATTCACAGTTAACCGTAAGAATATTTTTGAGCATTCTTAAATTTAAAAATTTTGAAAACCTAACAATATTTTTTCTTCTATTCATGTTGCAAAATAAAAATCTTACATTTGTTTTGATAAATTCTATCAGAGGATGAAATACACCAGTAAAAAGTTTTCCTTTTTGTATATATATATATATATATATATATATATATATATATATATATATATATATATATATATATTTCAAACTTTTGCTTGATTGACAAAGGCTGCTCTGAGGCTGGGTTGGTTAAAGCAAAGGGATGCAGGTTTGTATCATGCCGGAGAGCACATATTTTTCTTTAATAAGATTTCTTGAATATTCAAGCTGGTAGATGAAAGTAATGGAGCATCTACACAAATATGAGTATCCAATAAAAATAATGTTTAAAGTTTTTTATATATATATATATATATATATACACATCATTTAAAAAAATATACTTTATTGCTATGAAATGAGGACACAAACTCAGCTAACGGAATTGGGAAAACAGAACCAATTAACACATTTTATTGCTGGGTGTCCGCAAACTTTTAATTTGTTAAAAAAACAAGATATCTATAGTGAATAGTAAAATTAGTCCGGCCTCAATAAACTAACTTGTACAGACACACACCCACACACATTACTATTTTCTCTATTTTTAATGTTGTATCCTTTTTCATAATTATTTTGCCATTTTGTAGCCATTTAAGAGCTATTTTATATATGCAGACTTGTAGAAGTTAATAAGGTTGTGGATTTTGTGTGTATTTTTTAGGTAAAGGTGCATGTTCAATATAATTAACAAAGATAAAAGAAGCATACAAAAAAACTTAAGTTTCTGCTATGCATGTTAATTCCTTGTTAACTGTTGACTCTATTGAAACAAAGTTAAATGTCTCTTGCTTGAATATGTCCATTTTCCATCTTTGGCTCAGAAATAATTTATAGGAAGTAAGGATAAGAACAGGTAAAGATGGTTGAGCTCAAGTCAGCCTGATGCAGAGTTGGGATGGCCAAATCTCTACTTCATGAGTAGGACCCCTGAAATCATGTCTCAATGATATTGTTGGAAAGTGGCAAGAGAAAAATTTTGTCCTTTTTGGAAGTGGGGGGGGGGGATCATAAAAATGTGCATGTGACCAGAAACCTTTTCTGGTTTCTTTATAACTTGCATCATGGGGAAATTAATTAATTTTTTTTTTTTTTTGTAAATTTTTTTATTATTATTTTATTTATTGGTTCTATTTCATTTCCCCACAGACTGATACCCAAACCATGACTATGAGTTTTTTTTTTTTTTTTTGAAAACAGAAAATGCATTAGTGGGAAATCTTAATTTTTTTTCATCTGTGACTATCAGAAGCAATTATAGTTAAACAATTGATTGCTTTAGCATAAATGAGTTTTCCTCTCTCTCTTGCTATCTTAGTAAGCATCTTTATTATAAATACAATTAAAATGATTTTTTTTTTCTGAATGAAAATGCTGTACAGCAGAATATTTATAGAAAAGGAAAACTACTTGCAAAATCAAAATTAAATTGGGTGTTTTATTTATCTAAATCTGTAAAATTGCTTTTTATTTGTAGCAAGTGTCAAATTAACTGATAAGGAGAAACGTTCAAATCAGTTGAGAGAAAAAATAGTTTGTATTAAAGATATAATGAAGGAGAAAAAATTAATTTTTTATTTTATTTATTTTTTTTTAATATACTAAAATTCATTTTACTTGAATTAAAAAACTGGTTGAAAATTACAAATATAAATCCAGTCTAATTATAAAAGTCAATTGGTTATGGTTTCATATATGCCTTGCTTGGAGAGAGCTTTGTGGGCCTGAGATGAAGGTTCAAGACTCGACTGAATCTATAGCTATTTGTCAAATATTTTTATTATGTTTTAAAGTTCTTTTTATATATATATATATATATATATATATATATGCCAGCAAAATTGTTCAAATCATGTAAAAGCAAAATTGTCCATTTGTTAGTTTAGGCTTTGGACAGAGAAATGATTAAAGATATCTTACTGGAATTCTCCAAGGTTTTTATAACACTCTTAGACTCTACTTTGAACAAGAAGAATGTATTTAGCTCTAGGTTGAAATGATGATCCCTCTCCCTGTTGGGACTTCCTGATCCAGTTTCCCTCTCTACTGTTCTCTCTTTTTTTAAACTTATTCACCATTCTCTTGATGGTTCTTGAAGATAGAAGTCAGAGTATGAATGTTGGTACCATTGCTGAAGGCCTGGATGATCTTTTTCCTCTCACCACTGCTCAATTGAGAAGACATAGTGGGGCTGAGACAAAATGATTTTAACCTGTCTAGTTGAATAACTCAAAGGGTTTTTCACTTCTTGCTTGTTCAAAAAATGGCAGTTTTCGGGAAAAGCTGTACCCAAGTGTAAAGGTCTGAACTGGCATAGCTAAAGAATGGAGTTCATCTAAACGTTGACCATGGAAATAGCAATAAAGTAGTGATAGAGGCTTGCGAACTTTGCATCTGCTGGGAAAAGAGGTTACTGAGTGGAAAATAAAAAAAAAAAAATGATTCCCTTTTACTTTTAATATCTTTTTAGAACTTCTGTATAAATAATTTCTAATTCTTTTCTGCAAACAAATGTCTTTGCTTTGTGTCAGGTGTTCTTTCTTTAACTGCATCACTAGATACAGTGAAGTTGATGTTATTCCTTGTTCAGCTGATGAACCTGAAGAAGACAGGCAGAGACAAGCGCTGAGGGGTGCCATACTTGGGTAAGGGAACTTTTATTATTTTATTTTTCCTCTGATATTCTTCATTTTGATGCTAAAGAAAATAGCTTTTCTTCAGCAGTGAGTAACCTCTGTTTTTGCAGCGTTCATAGCCAACCTGGAAATCGAGGTATTAACAGGAGATTTTGGTTTAAAGTCGGGGAAATCAAGGAACTTGACTTGCATCAAATGACAGGATTTTTTATATTGAAAATTGTTTGTAAAAAAATGATAAATGTTATTTACCTATATATATATATATATATATATATATATATATATATATATATATAAAAAACAGAGGATGTCTTTTTCGCTTGAGATCCATCTACCCGATTTTGACCAAACTTGGCAAATACATTGTACAATGAAAGAGATAGGTTCTTAACGTAAAAAATCAATTTTTAAAAAATCAATTAAGCCGATCAAAAATCTATAAATTCAACATTTTTCCTTTGATTTCATTCAAGCTCGGTATGTAGGTTACTTATATCATGACGAGCTCAACAATACCTCATTTTTATTTCTACGCCACTGCATTTAGTAAAAAAATGCAAAAAATGAAAAATCATTTTCAACATAAATTTTAAACTAAAAACTCCCTCAATTTTCAAGCAATCTAATACAAACTTCATTCAATTGTAGACAACAATAAATTGATTGTTTTACAGTCATTTAACTTCATATTTGAGTCCACCCATATTGTGAAAACCCGCATAAATAGTGAAAAATGGTGATTTTTTACTGGTTTGTTTCTTATTTTTTGTTGATCTTTCATCATGATCTTTCATCAAACTTAACAATTGCTTTATAAAATGTATCCTCTTTTACATCCCTGATAGCACACTGACAAATTGACTTTTAAAATCTCCAAAATAATTGTGGTCTGAAGTGGGTCTTCATGTTGCATGTTTTACCCCTTCATGTCCTCAGCTAACTTCGATTAAATAAATACAGACAACTTCTGTTATATCAGTGACTGCATTTATTCAAAATGTTTTTTAATGAAAGTAGTTTAAAGTAATTGAAGAAGATAGACTCTGTTACATCTAAACATGATGCTGTTTTTACTCCATTCTAATTGAACGCTTTTTCTGATCGACCAATATATGTTTGTTTTCTAGGATTTGTAAAATTTGAATAAAAATATATACTTCTTTCAATCCTAAATATATTTGCTTTCCTAATTGAAGTCTTAATCTTGAATTTGTTTCATAGGTTTTGCCAGTGAAAGACAATCTTTATAAAACTGCTGCTTTTATAGAAATACAATTTCATTGATCATCTTCCTATATTAGTCATTCTCATTATCAAGAATATGTCAAATGTAACTGAAAAAGTATTAACTGAAAAACAGAAGGCAAAAGAAAGAAAAAAGGCAGCTGAAGAAATTAAAACCTTAGAAACATTTAAAGTAGAAAGAGAAAATCAGAAAAGAAATAACAAACTTTGACAGGGACATTGCCGAACTTACCAAAGCTAAGAAAGTAATTAATTTGACCACATTAGATTTGAAGTAGACACATCACATGATAAGCACACCAAGAAACCATTTGCAGAGACCCAGGCTCTGGCATATAACCATAACAGGAGAATGGTGAACAGCTCATCAGATTGATGCCCAGTGCCTCTTTCCGGGGTTAATGACAAAAGAAGTTACATTGCATATGAGAAAGCTTGCATTCTACAATGTGTGTGTCTTTGTCTAGTTATCTTTTTAGCTAAATATGTAATATTTTGTCTGTTATGTGGCGTCCCAAAATCAAGGAATTTCATCAAGGAACTTTTCAAGGAATTCCAGCAGGCTGGGAACCCTTACCTCTGCAATATCATGCACAATATGAAAAAAATGTTTCTTTTTTAAACTGATTGTGGAATCACTAGGTTACAATTCTTATTTTTTTTTTCTCTCATAAAAATCATGTCTATTCAGGACATAGATGATCATGGCTCTCCACAATTTCTTTTTATTTAATATCTGCAAATTGTAAATTGCTATGAGTATACTTGCGAGAAAGAATGGAATGGTTTCCTGTTACCTTTCCCATAGTTTTGAATTCAGAGTTATTGTACCTCAATGTGAAAACCAATTCAAGCATATTACATGTTTCTGATATTTAATCTGTAATATGACATTTAAAATTGGCATGGATTCTACCATTCCTTTCTCTAGTTGGCTTTATGACATCTCTTTAAAATGAACAAATAACACTTGGGATGAATTCAAAATATTAACCTCATTATTTTATTTTGATCAATACACTTTCTCACCATCTTCATCCTTGTAGGGATAGGATAAACCTTTCTTTCAATTTATTGGGAACAAGTAACAAATGGCCTGTCACTCATACATACAATATTTTATATGAATCTGGTTTAAACGGGAAACAGTTAAAATTAATTGCATGTGTATTTCATCAAAATGGTAAGAATAGAGATGAAAAATTGAAGTGTTGCCACTGTGTAACTAAATCAGATAAGTTCAAAGTTTCTCAGCTTTTAATTAATTTTCTGATTTTTTTTTTTTCTAGTAGAACAGTTGGACCACTGGCAGAAACATCATGCAAAAGAGAAACTGGTAAGTAAAATTGCATTTGTTAAGGCACTTTTTTCTTAATATTAAAATGACTTGTTTCAGGAATCTACAAACTTAACTTTCAATATACTTTTTAAAGGGTCAATAAAATTTTCCTATTTGATATTATTTCTTGAAATCTTTTGACAAAACATTTTCACTATTTTTTTTATGCCACGTTTTACTTCGTTTGATACCATTACAGTTATTTGCTTTGATATTTGAAGAGTTTTTCAACCCAGAATTCTGCAATAGAAAGCAACAATAATAAAATGAAATAAAGCTAATAATGAAATAATAATATTGACCATCTGAGGTTTATAAAATGACTCGTTTTAAAAGAATTTCATTAAATTTCTTTTTTGTTAAGAAATGCTTCACAATTAAGATTATAAAACTCTTGATAAAAACGTGAAGATTCTGGTCTGTCGACAAAATATATAGCTAAAGTGGTTTCCCAGGGAAAAAAAATAGTGTAGCTTCAATTCCAGTCAAGAGGTACATTTTCCGTAAGACTTTTGATGATCTAGGCCAGAAGTAAATTTTAATGTTTGTAAATTAACAGGGAAGTCTGCTCAAACACATGTATCCACTAAAATAATGTTCATAGTAATATATATATATATATATATATATATATATATATATATATATATATATATATACACACACACACACACACACACACACACACAGACATGACAGAATTGAATAGACGCTCACAGAAACCATTTATTTTATTAAACAAGTAATTGTAAATGGTCATAAATTTAATAACTAATACTTGATTGACATCCCTTTTGCTTTTTTTAATGCAAGGATTCTTCCAGGCATGCTAGCGATGAGTTCATGAATATCATCTTGAGGGATTTCTTGCCATGTTTGACGCAATAATCCTAAAAGTTCAGGCTTAGAAGATGGCTTCCTGTTCTTTTTGCAGAGTTTTCGATTTAATATGCCCCAAAGGTGTTCAATAGGGTTAATATCCGGGGACTGACTTGGTCATGGAAGTTTATTGATCCCATTTTGTCTCAACCAATGTTGCGTTGCTTGAGCAGTGTGACATGGAGCTCCATCTTCTATAAATAGGGAGTCAATTTTGCTCATTCTACTACTTGAGAATATTGGAAGGAGCCCTTTCTTTAATATAGAAATATATTTGGTTGAATTAATGTTTCCTTCACACTCCACAAGCTCTGAGTGACCATCACTCCAAATTGCACCCCATACCATTACTGAAAGGCCCCCATGTTTCACCGTTGGCTGCAGTCTTTTTAAATCAAACTCTTGACTACAGAGTCTCCATACCCATACTCTTCCACTTGGAAAATAATGCGAATCTTGACTCATCAGAGAAAATGTCAGTGGTCCAAAAGGTCACATGTCTCTCCACCATCTCATGAGCCCAATCGTTTCTGCGTTTGATATTGGCTGGATGGAGAAGTGGTTTCCTTCTCGCAGCTCTGCCATAGTAGCCCAGCTTGTGAAGATACCTGACAGCTGTTCTGGGACTGACATCAACTTGTGTTGCTATGTCAGAGGCCTTGCAATGTGGATCCTGTTCAACATTTCTTTCGACAAGACGCATGGTTCTTTCAGAGGGCCCATGGCAGCCTGGATGAAGTTTTGTGCACTTCTTGCCCTCTCTGGTGAATTGTACAATCACTCTATTAACAGTAGAAAGGGGTATTGAAAGAATTTCAGATATTTTTCTTTGACTAAGACCACCTTCATGTTGGCCCACGATACGTCCTCGCTGAAATTCGGAGGGGATCTGATGCTCCTTTGGTTCGTGGCATGTTCCAGTATTGTTATCTGCAATTTTAATCAAATAATCTAAGTTAATTTATCTTGGTTATTAAAAAAAATCAGAAATAAAATTTATCTTGGTTATTAAAAAAAATCAGAAATAAAATTTATCTTGGTGTCTATTCAATTCTGTCATGTCTATATATATATATATATATATATATATATAGTAATCAGACATTGGTTTGTACTACAAGTGGAGAAACAGGTTTCAACCCTGCTGGAGAACATATTTTCTTAAGTCTCTCAATTCTGCAGGTCAGTAGACATAATTCACACCATTTAAAAAAAAAAAAAAATACAAACAGGGTGTCTACTCAAGCATGGGCATCCACAAAAGCATTTAGAATAATAGAAAATAATATCATATAAAAAAATCCATTGATTCCTTAGAAATTATATATATATATATATATATATATATATATATATATATATATATATATATATATATAAATTAATTTTTTTTAATCCAACCTTTTTATTATTTCAGATGTTATTATAGTGAACCTTTGTATTTGAAATAAACAGTATGTATTATGTCTAATGGCTGGTGAGAAATCTTAAAGAAAATGTATTTTTTGGCAGAACCAAAATTGTTATTAAAAACGTGTGTGAATTGAAGTTTCTTTTTTATGCTCATTTACCATTTCGTTAATGGTGGTTGTTTTCTTCTTCAGTTTCTGAACCAAGTTATGAAACAGATGCAAGCAATTCTCATTTTTATAATCAAAGTCCTGAAGCAGAAAATACATCTTTGAATTTGTAAGTGCTGTTTTTTTCTTTTCTTTCCCTTTTTTTCTCTTTTCTTTCCCTTTTTTTCTCTTTTCTTTCCCTTTTTTTCTCTTTTCTTTCCCTTTTTTTCTCTTTTCTTTCTCTTTTCTTCTTTTTCTCTTTTCTTCTTTTTCTCTTTTCTTCTTTTTCTCTTTTCTTCTTTTTCTCTTTTCTTCTTTTTCTCTTTTTCTTCACTTTTCTTTTCTTTTCTTTTTTAAATGACAATTTAAAGTAGTTATTCAAAGACAACAAAGTTCTTTTTTTGTTCATAAAATCTTTCCTCTTTCACCAATCACCAGTTTATTATATTATTAAAAAAGTGATATCTAGAGATATCTCATGTAAATGTTTTATTAACTATCTAAAACTTTATCAATAAATTATCCTACTATTTAAGATGAATCTTCAGTTCAGAATTAAAAACAATCGAATGTTTCTATAGTTTTGATTTCTAACATGAAAAAAAAAACATAAAATTTGTTTTAGCTTTTATTTATTTTATTTAATATTTTTCTCTGTTTCCTGTAAGACTTGCGCTTACTTCAAGGTCAGTTTAACATTGGAAGTAATTCACCTTACACAGCCAGTCTTCCCCAAGACATATTGGCAGGTGGGGATTAAATTCAGCTATTTTGCTAAACTGATTACTTTAAGGTTACAGACCCCAGTCTGCATTGTTATTTATCTATAGCTAAGGAGAAAAGAGATGAATTCATGCTTTACTTCAGAGCATTATTGCAAAGTGAATACAACAGCTTTTGTTGGAATTTAAACACAGTCTGCTATTTCCATTTTTGACAATGATAAGTGTTATGCTATCTGTACACACTTAGTCTCAGTTACATGAAGTTGGTGCTGCATGATTGGAAATCAAATTTATAAAAGAAAGGACATTTTCATTTGATCATCTGTGTGACTATTTCAACTTTTAGGGATTCATCATCTGACTTAGCATCATTATTTTTACAACTTCATAGCGATTATACAATATGTTTATTATATTCTCATTCATGGCTCATTGGAGTCAATTCTTACAGTCAAGTTAAAGATGGCAGATAAAATTATATATTGAAAGAAAATCGATATCTTAAAATCTTTTCGAAAATCACTCGTCTTTTCATGAGACGGACAACACTTTATATATACGCGGTAGTAATGAAATCTGATCAAATAATCAGACTTCATAAATTGTTTGGAAAGGGTTCTTAGACGTTGAGAACTTTTTCAACACACTCATAGAAAATTTCTAAACGGATGATTATAGTGTAAGGGAGACTACTCCTTATGAACTTGTCCGCAGAGTTACTGCCCTTGATATTCTATGCCCACTTTTGGTAGTATTATCCCCAGTACACGTCTTTTCATTTTCTTATTTATTTTTTTACGACATTTTTTTTTTTTTTTCTGCAGTGACCCCCGGGATATGAATAGTTCTTCTCAAAGTATAATTTCCGCATTAAAATCTCGCCTGAAAGAGAAAGAAGAGAAATATGAAGAGAAACACAAATGCCTGATTTGCATGGTATGTACTGGATAGTCTCTTTTTTTTTTTTTTTTTTTTTACTCAAAGATTTTTAAAGAAATAATTAGAATAAGAATTTTATTCGTAAAAAATAGGGATAAATTAATGCAAATCAAACATCAGTGAAAATGCCTTGCATTAATACTATAAACAGTTGAATACTCATTAAATCAATCCTAAGTAACAATTATAATAATAGTTTGAAGAGAATTGGTAAATACTAAGTTTGCTTTGTGCATTGTAGGCTACAGAAGTGGAGTTTCTTAATGAGCATTGAATTCACTACAGTAACGATCAATCATTGCTTCATAGCAACGTGCACAAGAAAAGATTGAGTATTGATTACATTAATAAGAGAAATAAGTGACTTTATAGAATTTACATAGTCTTTTAATCATATTGAAATATTAATAGAATTCACAATAAAAATTAATAAAGAATTCAGTAATAAAACTAAAAATTATTTGAAAAGTAAAGATAATATTATGGTATAATTCATCTCCCCCATTAATAGATCTGTCCTGAATGCATATATTCAAGAGAACTCTACTGATATGCACAGTATATTAAAGCTTACTGATAAGCAATATGTATTGTCTAGAAAAATTCTATTACAATTTAATATACTCTCATTGTTAACTGTTTTGAAAATGGCTGTTTTACTCTATACAGAGAAACTTAATGACCCCAACACTTTTGAAACCAAACTAGAATATCATCACTGTAGAACTTGAGCACATAATATGACTAAAGTTCTAAATGACACTATCTCACCAAATGTCTCTGCACAAGTTTGAGTATTTTGCGGACACATCTTCCTATGAAGAGGCTTTAACAAGACTGGACAGGACCTACATTAAAAAGAAAAATGAAATGGTCTCTAGACATTTACTGGCTACATGTTGTCAACTACCCTCAGACTCCATTGACGGATTTTATCAAATCTTTCATTTTCTTCGGTATCAGTGGAACAATATTAAGTTGAATTTATCTCAGATGCCTTCATAAATGGGTTATGGTGCACAGATATCCAACAAAGAATACTCGAAAATAGTACGTTAACATGACAGCAGGCCCATGACCGGGTGTGGCCATCGGGTCACTGTGCAGGTGAATATCTAACCAGTTCCCTCCATATATTTGGGTTGAAAGCCAGAGGAAGTATTCATTCCGGTATATCGTGTCTGGACAAGTAGACCCAGTGGAGCCAATTCCTCTCCTGGTCAGATCAAATTGAAGGCTTGTTTTGATCACATACATGTAGCCATTGATTCCATTGGGGGTGGGGGTAACCCTCCATGCTGACTTCAGCCTAGGAAGCATTCGACCCAGTGAGGCTTTGTTATCACCAAACTAGCTGCATCCATCGCTATGGAACACAGTTTACTCCATTGTGCTAGATGGCAGTTGGCCCTACAAGAAGGTTTATCTACCCACTGATGATAGGTTTTTATTCCAGCTGTGTCTAGCCACCCTCTTCAACAGCAAATCCTGTTGGAGAAACTAGTTAAAACACTGATGACTGAACTACATTGGCAGCTAGCACTGGCTTACATGATACCAGTAGCACTTGTGGAATAACCTGATATTCTAATAATAATAATAAACAATATAAGAAGAAAATAATGACAGAAAAAAACAAATGAATGCAAATAGTAGAAGTTATTATTTGAGAAAAGTTTAGAATTTTAATAATAAAGTAGAAAGTACAGAATGCTGGGCTTTAATAAAAAGACTAAATTTAATGCAAATTATTTTGAGTGACTTCAAACATTGAAAATAAAATTATCAGTAAAAATCTATCCCTGTAGACTCCCCTTTTTGAATATAGGCCACAGTTCAGTGTTTTTGCTACAGTTTCTATAGCAAGTAGATTTTTACAGGGTAGACTTGCTCACCCTCTTCCCAATTGATTTCAAATTCAAAGTTAAAAGCTAAAGAGCAGCAGTAAAGTGTAATCAAATAAATTGCAAACACTTGGACGAGTTGTTGGCCTGATCCACTTTCCAAAATCTAACCAAATAATCAAACGTTATAATTTTTTTTTTTTTTTTTTTTTTTTTGGAGAGGCTTCTTAGGTGCAGATAACGTTTTCAACATTCACTGATATGCAGAGGACAAATAAATTGCAAACACTTGAACAAGTTGTTACTGTTATATATTCTTTGTGTACTCAACAAGTTTGGAATTATGATTTAAGGAAAAATAGTTGAAGCATTTAATTGTAGTATTGCAAATTTATCTATTCAGCTAATTAATTAGTGAAGAAGGATTAATGAAGATATTGGATGTTCTTTCCATTTAAAAATTTAGGATTTGCTTTGATCACTAACTGAATTTTACATTTAAAAAAAATTTTTGTTTTTTTATTTAATTTTTTAGGAATCTTACAAGGTCCCTCTAACATCTGTGCAATGCTGGCATGTACATTGTGAACAGTGCTGGTTGAAGACACTGGTAAGTTAAGCATTTAATTTTATACTTGTATGCAACCTGAATGACACCCTCACACAAACTTTTATATGCATTCACTTATATATATAATGCAGTCAAGTTGCAGGTGTTACATCAGAATTTTCCTTCTCCTTGTCAGGTACCCCTAACAAAGGTTAAGGGATCCAACATTCCCAGTGATCTTATCATATGCCTGGACACCAACCTGGGTTAATTCTACATCCACATAGCTTTGTAAGGATATATATAGACCTTTCGACAGGTCTTACTTTTTAATCCTGCTGGGTGTCTAGCCACTCTCCTCACCAGAAAAGCCTGATGGAGGAACCAGTTTAGTCATGGAATATATAACAATCAATTTGTCTGACGATTGTAAATAGCATGAAACCTAGGGTCACAAACTCATATCAATCCAACTAAATGTGTTAGTTCTATCACTGATAGTACTGCACATATATAATATGTAAAGTAAGTACTGCACACATATGTAAATAAAATATATATAAAATTGCATATATATATATATATACACACACACACACACACACACACACACACACATATATATATATATATATAAAGGTCAGACTGCTACTCGTGTTTTATGCCACTATGATCATCAGGCGGTGTGTGTGTATATAAATATATATATATATATATATAATGTGTGTGATAGGATAAAGACCAAGTAGGAAACAGATTTTAATCTAACGTATTTCACTTTATTAAGTCTTTGTCATTTTTATTTCTATCTTGATCTCTAATGAAGCTTTAATAAAATGAAACATGTTAGATTAAAATCTGTTTCCTACTTGTTATTTATCTTATATATATTTATATTAAATGTTATTTTTAGTGGATACTCATATTTAGTAGATGTTCCTTTTATTTATTAAACCATATATTTATTTATTTTTGTCTATCATTCTAAATATTCCAGAAATGTTATTAGAGAAAAATATGTGCTCTCCAGTAGGATTTGAACATGTGTTCCCTTAAGGGAAATACACATTTGTGATTATAAATTTTTTTTTTAATTTGAAATAGAATTGTTCTTTAAATTATACACTATTGCTGAAATGCCATTTTACTATTTATGTAGAGTTTTTGACATTTTTCTTCATATAATTAATTTAAACTCTCTATACACCAACAAAAAATAAGATTGCTACATGGCGATTATGCATTTAAGTTTACTCAAGGTTAAACATAAAAGTAATATAATTGGATTCCAATAAATGATCGCAAATACAGATCAATATGTACTTGGTTTCCAAAATAACAGAGTGTATCAATTGTCCTCAGGCCTCATAATTAATTAACCCATAACTGGAGGAGAGAAGAGGTGGATTCACACATTTTCCCAAGATTATTTGCATGTGTGAATATAACAAACTCGACCAGGATTGAAACTCGGCTCTCTGATTTCCAATTCCAAGCCATTATCCATTACGTCATCAATGCATCTAAGATTACAGCATCTGATATTCCCAAATGGTCATCTATTTAGGTACTGACCAAACTCTACATTGCCTTAACTTTGGTGATAGTACAAAAACCAGCGTTTTACTGTAATATTGCTGTAAACCTTTGTGTGCATATAAACACATGCACGGCTACATTGAGCTGAACCATGAAAGTCGGCTCAACTGTTCAACTCTTTTTAAATATGCAAATATTCTTAACTCATATCTTGTATGCTAATTGTTTTTTTTTTTATTATTTTTTTAGGGAGCCAAGAAGCTGTGTCCTCAATGCAACATGATTACGTCACCATCTGATTTACGTCGAATATTTTTGTAATATATTGTATCAGTTTCCCAATCTGCTGCTTCCCTTACACCCTTTGCTGTGTGTATTGCCATGTGGTACATTCACACATATGCATACATACTACATCTCTCAACACATGCAGGTGTGTTGTGTTAGTGAGTGTGCTTGTGTGTATGTGTTTATTTTTTTTTTTTTCTTCTCCTGACAGTGTATTGGCACACTTATTCTTCAGACTTTTTGACTTTCTGTATGTAATAAATTTCCTTTCGGCTTTGGTGGGTGTAAAGTAAAAGATAAAAACAATTGACAGCATTAGAGAAGGCGGACAGATCCAAACTGGCTGTTTGTATTTAAACTCTACACTCATGCAACCATCACTCTGATAGTGTATATTCAGTCTTCGTTTTGTGACAGAAATACATAAGAAGCAGGTTTTATTTTTATTTTTTTATTTTATTTTTTTGTAGGGCTGGCAATTTCTTTGTTGTTTTTTTTTTTTTTTTTTTCCCCATCTTAGTGGCAGGATGTAGAAATAGACAACTTGGATTTTGTTTATTCTTCATTTCATTCTGACATGGAAGTGTGAAAAAAATGCAAAGCTTGAATAAAGGATGAGTTTTTTTTTTAGCCAAATAAGGAAGCCATTTTTGTCTGACCACATGGAAGAGCACCAGTATCAGGGCAAAAGACCCTCTTCTCTGATTGCTGCTTCTTCTGCTAACCACTGTGGCAGCTAGCTGGTATGTTTACATGGTTAAAGCTATATAATCATGACAAAAATGTAAGTCACATAACCAGATGACGTGCTCTGCCCTCATATGACCATGTTTAATATCTACACTTCATTTTGAACATAGGACCATAACCTGTTGTCAAAATGTGCTGTTAAATATAATACATTAAGCACCCATGTGTTAGACCAAATACCTGTTGTAGAATAAAGTCTAGTGAGTTAGTTTAACAAGCCATTGATAGTGTGAGTTTAATCCACAGTAAGTGCTCCATTACTATGGCCTTGTTCCAAACTTAAATATTTGTTAATGTAAAAGATGATTTGGCAAAATAATATTAAAAGGACAGTTATTAATTATGAAGATGTACATCTGTTGTGTAAATTTCTGAGATAAATCACTTTCATTTTGCTTTTCTTGTAAATATATAGACAACAAAGATGAGGATAGTAGTAGATAGATAATTTATGGAATAAGGAATTAAATTTCATGAGCCAGACTTGAAACATGGTGGAGAGGGATATGAAAACAGATGAATACTTTAGTTTAAAAATGAAACTTCTCCCAACAAAAATAATTCCCAAAGATGAAAATCTGGAACTAAGCTATGACCATGAATTCAATGTGAGAAGTGTGTGTGTGTGTTATTCATGTGCCAACCAGTTTATGGGTTACAAATGATGAAATTTTAAATGAGGCTGAACTTCTGTTATAAGCAACCAACATGGATACTCTCTCTCTCTCTCTCTCTAGGGTCATGCTGATGACATTCACATTGTTTCCATGGGTTCCATTTCTAATGAATTCATATTCTTTGATAGTTCCCCCTTTTAGTGAATATTTATTGAAAACTTGATTTGCCAGTACACCATAACTGACATTTCCCAGTTATTTTAGCTCTGCTCTGGTAAACTTTGCCTCATCTTCCATCAGATATTTCTTTCTACTTGTCCACACAATACAAGGCTCAAGAGCCACTCAAATTAGAGGTTTGATAAATGGGGTTGTATGAACATAAGATGAAGAAGTAAATACAGATCATGACAATATGTAAGATAGATAACTGTTGACTTGAAGAAGTGAAGATTGTAATGATCGGGGAAGCATCCTCTCAGGAGTCTGTTCTCATCTGTTGAAATAGTGAGATTTTCATTTCACTTTTTTTTTATGTGTTCATTGACATCTTGAGCAGGACTCTTGTCTTGCTGCTTAAGTTTCTCTGCCCTAATGACCACCAATGGAGTGACTCCAAGTCACCGTCCGGTCATGTGATTCTACCTGGCCAATTGTACTTTGCCAAGTCTTTCACATTGCTATTTGATCCCTTACTAAACTTGGAAGATTTACCTGAGTATTGCTTTCTTCAGTTTGGGAGTCTGCCCTGAGGGTGAGGTTCAGATTTTCATTCATTTGGCAAACTCAACACTCTTAGCTTGCATCACCCGCATCTCTTAAGTGAAATAACTCCTCAATAACATGTGATGACCTTGCAACAGGGCAGGAATTGTTTTGATGGTTTAAAGATGACCCCCCCCCTTTCTTCCCATCTAATAGCTACCCCAATGTTAGCAGCTCTCTTATTGGCTATCTTATTTGACTCTCTTATTGAAGGGAGCTATATTGATTGTTTTTTTGTTGTTTTTTTTGTCAAAGGTTATGCAGATTTTGGCAATGTCTCAAATGTTTTAACATATTATAAAAATGGATTTATTGATCAGAACCTCATTATCAAAAAAAAAAAACAAAAAAAAAACAAAATCTCTTTTTTATGAGTATACAGATGAAACAAAATTAATTTTTTTTTCCAGTAGGTAAAAAAGATATTGGAAATTAGTTAACTCTTCTTTTTCTTTAGAGCATATCAGATTCCCCACCTGACACACTTTGAGTAGAGAACAATTTACCAACTTCACAAGCCAATTAACATGTCAAGCTATGGCTGCTACCTATCACTACACTCTCCGTCTCCTTCTCCTGCTATTATTATTATTATTATTATTATTATTAACATTCAAATGTATGGTGGGTGACCTGAATATTAATCTTGACAACCTACTGTATAAATAAACTTGTATATTCTGGATCAGAAATAAAATTAAAAAAAAAAAAAAGAAAAAAGCCAAACAATGGAAGTATTCAAATCAAAATGAAAAAAAAAATTGTTTTCTCTTCTTTCGTTGTTCCAAACAATTTTTATTTATTGATCCCCTCCCCTTCTTCTTGCCTTTATTTATCCTTTTTTTATTTGCAGAAAAACATCTACTTTTGACTAGAACTTTTTTTTTTTTAAAAGGAAAATAAAATAAATAAAATAAGAATCTGGTTTTTTACATGTTTTTATGTTTATTTCTTTTTATGTAAGCTAAAATAAATTAAAAAAAAAACCTTCTGTCATTATCTTACAATGTCTCTAATGTTTTTGATCCAGCATTAAAAAATGCCATGATTATAGAATATGTGCATTCATACATGTACAATAAAATGAAAGAAAATAAACAAAAGCACTAATTGTTTGTAAAACATCAAATTTCAAATTAAAGATGACAGTCAAGGACAGTTTCTATGATAAATATAAATATAATATGGTTTGTCACCTGAATTCTAATGTGAGTTCTAGTTTTGTTATCTCTCCTTACATTTGGAGACTTTTGCCTGTTTTGTGATGCCAACAAATATTCGTTGTCACTTTTGTAATGCTTGTTGTAGTAGAGACTTTGTAATTGCAGATACAACTAGAGTAACGCCGTTGAACAATACTGGTGTCGGACGCCTTCGAATAACACTCGCACTAATAGTAATGGCTTGATAATACTCGCTTGAATAGTAACCGTATAATGATCTGAAGAGTAATCCGTATAATGATATTCACTAACTGCCCCACGCGGTCGGATGTGGCACAAGGCCGAGTTTATTGTGGGTTATCCGAGCATGTATACTCAGGTAAAAATATCCCCTAAGCCCCGTAAAAACTGTCTACCACCCCAGACGAAACTCTGCCCTTTGGCATAGCCTCGTTTGGGTTCCTCTCAACACAGAGGCAGAGAGTTTGACAAGGACACTTCCGAAGTAATCCTGATAGTGATCACGCTAATTCCCATATATACATTTCCTTTACCATCACGTGAGCTACTTATTCAAAATGGGATTGACTGTGTTTGGTCTCTGCTGATCTGAGTTCAAACACCAGTGTTGCCAATGACACTTTATTCCTATATAAAAGGCTGTTTGTTTGTGTGTGTGTGTGTGTGTGTGTGTGTGTGTGTGTATATATATATATATATATATATATATATATATTTATGTGTTAAACGGCTTGATATCAAGGACAGATCATATGTAAGTATGCAAGGGGACATTGAGGCCGACACCCAGTGGCGACCTGTCTGTTTCATACTTAAACGCAATTGTCAGGACATGTGTTTTGGCTTGACTATTTATATATGTTGGTCAGTGATGCATTATGGGTAGTTCTATTTTAATAACAATCAGCAAAAAATATCAAAGCAATCAATGATAAAGCTAACAAAAAACACTATGAAATAGCTACAAAACTTCATTCGGATCGACAATTATTTCCACTCAGTAGCTCTTAGAATATTTGATATATAACTGTTAACACTTACCCAATAACGATTTGAATGAATACAATAAACCTAACCTTAATGTATCACTGACCACCACATATAAATAGTCGGATCAAAATACAAAGCTCATGGCCTGACGATTGCGTTTAAAAAGACTGTCGCCACTGGGTGTTGACATCAATGTTGACGTATATATATATATATATATATATATATATATATATATATATATATATATATATACACAATTATAATTAAGTAATTCATCGAGTCTAGAAGAAACCTCAACAGAATGGAGAAAGCACTGGATCAGGCCGATGTCATAATAACTGATAACGTAACTGTCCGGGTTTCAATTCTCGGTAGTGGATGCGCACTGCTGATGTGTGCCAAATATAGGACGAAACTGCCGTTCAGTGCTTTCTCCATTCTGTTGAGTTTTCTTCTAGACTCGATGAATTACTTAATTATATTATCTCAAATCCGGCTAATAATTACTATCACTTGTATATCCTTGCTTGAACCGGCTTCTAATGTTCTGGCTGGAGCGACTTGGGGATTGAAGACGTGGCTCGTGTGGGGGCACATCCGTTGGGTTAGGGAAACTCGGATGAATTTCACGGAATATGTGATCGAGCGGCGCTATATCGAGTCTAATTCGCTACCTCTTCGTCACAGAGGCCCGTTGGTACGGCATT